TTGTTGAGATAATTAAATGGAGAAATAATGCTGTGTAAAATGCTTGGCACATACTGAGTGGTCAATTAGTGTCATCATCAGCGATGCTATCATCACCAACTTTTTAATTATCACCATCATTGTAATTCAAACTCTTGCCTAAGGTTCAGAGCAAAGGGTCCTTTGCTCATTGATTCTGTGAGCCTCAATCATGACCCATTTTCTTATGGGCTTTTTTCCCCCTAGAGCCAAAGCTCAGCTTGTTACTGCACGGGGCGTTGTTAATTTATTTCGGGTCTTTGGGTTCAAGTAAAGAGTCTCAATTGGTCTTTAAAGACATTTAAAAAAATAAATTAGAATTCATTTTTTACTATCTTATCTACTTCAGGCTGGCTTTTATATGTTTTTGTCAGTTTCTGATTCCCTCTCAAACTATAATTCTCTTAAATAGACAAAAAAGAAACACAAGGAAAGCTTGAAAAACAAGCAAGACAGAGTTGAGGTCCTTTATCCCAATCGCTTCACAGAGACCCTGAGCAAGCTGAAACTCTTTCAGGTACATGACCTTTGACCTCATCCTCACCAACCACTGACCACTTCTGATCCACTTCCTGACCACTACCTCCTGTACTTCCAACACGCTTACACCAGTTCTCTACCAATTCCAGATCTTACTGGAGCATGTGATTGATGGATGCTGCCATTTGCTCCTATCAAGCCCGCTGGGTTTCCACATCTCTCCCTTCCTGCTTCCATTGTTCATCAGTACCAGCACACCCTTGCAAACACTTTAATTTCTGTATACCGCATTCCTCTCGCCCTACATGTGGCCCACTTGGAAAAGTCCCAGGCCTACTCAAATCAAACTATCTACTCATTTTTGCCTGCACTCCAGGAGCTGAACATTCATGAAGAGAAAAACCAAACCTGCCAATGACTACTTTCATCCTAAAATCATGATTTCAAATGCACTTGGGTGCTTAGCACGTTCAAGGTTGTGTCACTTCCGTGGCTTTTCCACTCTCCAAAATGACTATTTCATGGTTTCTTTTCTCACCCCAATCTTCACCCAGCATTACACTATCAGCTAGTGACCATACATCATTGAAAATTAATAAACTTTGCAGAGAGGGACACTTTCTTTTCCCTATTCCAAAACCTACAACCCCAAAGCCACTTGCATCGGTTCCTACAACCTCTGTCTCCTCTCCTCCTAACTCTTGGTAAAATGTCTTCACTACCTTCAAAGGCCAACTGTGCACAACTGTACCCTGGGTCCCATCCCCTACAGACTTTGCAAGGACGATGGCTCTGAAATTTTACACTTTCTCTGCATCCTCAACTTATCCTGCTTCTTGAGTCATTTCCATCAACATAGAAGCCTGTTGCAATGTCGTTTATATTTGCTTTTGGATGTCCTCCTGAAAATTACACATTTTGATAGCAGTTTCCTTTGCTTCCTCTCTGTGCAGATTTTCGAAACACTGCATAAGGCTCCCTTGGACTTTTGATCCCAAAACCTTTCAAAGATTTCCAAAGCCTCTTATTCCTTGTGTTAAATCCGTTTCTACTCATCATATTTGGAATGGTTCCTACTTGCCTGTCCAATTCCTGATGACACTGTAACAGACTTTATTGCCTTAAGTCTTTGCTCGAGCTCATCTTTCTTCCTGGAACGTTATGTTTCCTTTCCCTGGTCAGAGCTGGATGCTTCCTTCTTGTCATTTGATTTTCATCTTAAGTAGTACCTCCTCATCCAGCCACTCATTAACACATCATCTTAATTTAATTTGTGATATGCTATTTATAACTATGTATTTTTGTTGTTTATTTATTTATTCACTAGAAGATAAGTGATCTTGTTTATCTGTGTATTCCCAGTATCTGGAACAGTGTTTGGCACCTAGTAGGCACCTAATCAATATTTGTGGAATACATTAATGAAAACTGACCATCATGTAAGACTTTTATGTGTACCTAGGAATATCAGTGAGTGAAATGTTAGTTTCCTTTGACAAATTTTAAGGCGAATGTATTACAAAAGACTGTTTTAGGGGCTGCAAGAGATACAAAATTGAATTAGAGGAGCCAGTAAAGGAAATAAGAAACATGATGCATGTGTGTGCATGCACGTGCGTGCGTGTGTGTGTGTGTGTGTGTGTGTATGGTGTGTATATAATCATAATATAAAATAGAAAGTGTTATCATTATGCACATTTTAAAGCTGTAGGAGTTCAAAAAAGGATATGCTATTTTTTTATGTGGGAAGATAAGGGAAGGGGTTTTTTTTTCTGAGGGAGAGAATATTTGAATTGGGCCTTGAAGAATAATTAGGACTTATGAATACAAAGATGGGTGGGAAGAACATTCTAGAGTGTTATATCAAGGGCTCAAAGAAGAGGCAAAGCAAATTCAGAACATAGGGAATTAGGTATACTTTCACTTGCCTTGAAATGAGGACACGAAAAGCAAAGTATAAGATAATGGACTATACTCAGAAAATAAAGACATCTCAACTAAATCCCCAGACAGAGGATCTGTTGTTTTTCACTAAAAACAACTTATTCATATACACATGCAGATGTTAAATTTATTTAAGGTGGGTATTAAGTCCACAGCTAGAGACTAGCTCATTTATGTGAACAGCCTTGAGGCTCTGAGAATTCTGTTTATTATATTAGAAGCCACACCATGTTTTACATTCCAAATGCTCTGTTTCCGATTCCATGTTGTGCATCTCTGCTCACTCTCGGAATGTGAAGTAGGCGGCATGCAAATGCATTTGTTCATAATGAGCTTTTAGCATCTCTCCTCCTCTCTGAGGATAAAATCAGGGTACATTCTGTCTCTTAAGTCACGTCAGTAATCTTCCTGGAGAGAGCAGAAAATGATTAAACCTATTCTAAATCATCATAAGTCTGTTGCAAGGCATCCTCCTCTTGAACTTCTGCTTTACTCTAAAACAGTCCAGCAATTGAATTTGAAACTATCTCAGGGTAAAGTTGAAAGAAGATATAAATCTTCCTTGAAGTTCTTTAACATCTAATAATAAAGGGATTTTTGTTGTATTGTAGCTTTATTAGTTTCTTATACACTCTCTTATTTACCACCCATAACTGTCCTTCAAAAGTGCATTCTCCTGCCTTGTCTTGCTAAACTGACTGCTTTCAGGCATTATATTACAATGCTGCTCAGTTAAAAAAATGTTCCACGTTGGCTATTTGCATTGAGTTATGCTATAGTGTTAAAATGGGGCTATGTATTTTACTTCTTGTAAGCTCCTATGTCACTGAATGAGTCTTTATGCATATAGACAAAATGCACACTAAAGAGTCACAATTTTAAGTTAATCACTAAATATCAAGTATTCAGTTAAAGAAAAAAAGAAACCTAAAAATACAATGTCACTCAGAGATATCACAAATACCATATGATTTCATTTCTATGTGGAATCTGAAAACAAAACAACTGAACAAATAGTACAAAACATAAACAGGCTCATAGACATAGAGAAAAGTTGATCGCAATCAAGGGATAGGGGTGGGGGAAATGGGTGAAACAGATGAAGGGGAATAAGAGGTACATATTTCAAGTTATAAAATAAACAAGTTATGGGGGTGTAATGTACAGCATAGGGAATAGAGTCAATATTATAATAACCCTGTGCGATGACACATGGTTACTTAGTGTTTGATCACCTCATTAGGTATATTAATGCTGAATACCTATGTGTACCTGAAACTAATATAATATTGTATACCAACTGTATTTTAATTAAAAAATACAATATCACTGGGAATGATAATACCAGTAAAAGAATATAGTTTCTGCCCTTTCTCTAGTGCAGGAAATAGAGCAGTCAGTAATATATTCAAATATATGTACATTTTCTCATGTAAAGATGCATATAGTTATGCCTTCATCTGGGGAAAGGAGGGAGGATCAAGACAAATTGGTCATTTGTCTATGTAATGCTTAAGTTCCTGAGTCCAGGGAAGAATTCCAAAAAGTCAACAATACCAAGGAATTGTTCTTCCCTCTTTGAAATCAATGAAAAATGAGTCATGATCTTAAAATGACCTTTTGAAGCCCTGGCTGGTGTGGCTCAGTGGACTGAGTACCAGCTTGTGAACCAATGGGTCACAGGTTCAGTTCCCAGTCAGGGCACATACCTGGGTTGTGGGTCAGGTCCCCAGCAGGAGGCGTGCAAGAGGCAACCACACATTGATGTTTCTCTTCCTCTCCCTCCCTTCCCCTCTGCCTAAAAATGAAATAAATAAAATCTAAAAAAATGACCTTTTAGAGACATTTCTTTCATCGCCCTCCCTCTTATGCTCTAGTATTAGACATACTATAGCCTTCTGTATCTCTGATGATTTCCACTGATCAGGAATTCTAAGACATTTTTGATTCTCACAAAACTCCTGTAATAATAGCTACATTGAGCTCTGTGAAAAGGAATGTATAAAACCCATTGATTACAGACAAGGCCTGTTTCGTATGAAATCCTAGCAGGTGGAAACTGACAAGATCATTGAAAGTAGAGGTCACTGTTTGGACACATTTTTTTTCCTGAGTTTGAATTAGTTGCCAACAATTAATTTCATACCCAGCTGACCCTCTTGCCTCACTCTTTGTCTGATCCCTGCATCTATTTCAGGTTTCAGTCTCTGTAATACTTTCTTATTTGTTGTCAGGGAACTAGATTCTTAGAGAATGTAGGTGTTTTGTTTCAAGTCACTAAAGGAAGTAATAACTAAAGAAGGAATTGATTGAGATGAGAAAAGTTTAATATATGCGTTCCATCATATTAATCCCCAAATTCATACATGTCTCTACCATTTGACTTAAATGAGGGTTTGGATATCTGTAAGTTAGCAATAGGGTTGGAGTTAGAAAAAGGTGACTATTTTTTCAGTAGTCATTTTGCCATTTTCTTTTCCAAAGGAAAACAGAAAGTCAATTATTCTTATTTTTTAGTATAAAATTTTTATATGTAGAATTAGCCAGGTGGACTCAGTTTAGATGATTCCAATTTTGTTGGCAGCATCCAAAGCATCATAGCCTGGAGCCAGTTGAAGATATGCCTTCTCTCCTTCAGTCCTGATCAGGATATTGACCTTGGCTACATCTGTGTCATAGAGCTTCTTCTCAGCCAATTCGATTTGGTGCTTGTTGGCCCTGACATCCACAATGAACATAGGTATATTGCTGTCTTCTAGCTTCTTCATGGCGGACACAGTCAAGGGGAACTTGATGATGACATAGTGATCAGGCTTGTGTTTCCAGGGGGCGCTCTTCTGACGATATTTAGGCTGCCTTAGGAGCACCAGTGTGTTAGGCCTCCAGAAGGTGGATGACATGGGGGTGGGGGTCGGGGGTGGGGGGGGAATGGGTGTGTGTGTGCGTGTGTGTGCGTGTGCGCGCGCATGTGGCTACAGGCACCTTCCCGCACTGCTTCCTTTGCCTTCAAAGCTGTTGCTTTGGTTTTGGCTTTGGGAGGAGCTGGAGCTGCCTTTCCGCTTTGGGCACCATCTTTGTGAAAAGGGTCAAATATTCTTTTCCAATTTATCTCAAGTCACATTTAAAAAATATCTGTTAGAGAAGCATAATGGGAAATATATGAACATAATGGGGAAAGAGGTCAGCATAGCAAAGAGATAAGTAACAAAGAGTCAATACCTTCTTAATTCAATCTCAATTATTTTGGCATTTAGGGAGATAGGGGTAGGATTTGGCTTAAAAATAAAAAGCATGATTTTAAAAATTTCTATGAGTTAGTAGCCACTGTGAATATGTTACCTTATTCACACAACAGTCTTTCAAGGGACGTATTTTGTCACGTTTTTACAGAAGAATGTGAAGTTTTAGAAAGGTTAAGAAATATCCCCAAGTCCATACAACCAGCAAGTTGCAAAGTTGGAATTGGAACCAGGTGTGATTCCAAAGTGGGTATTATTCCCAGGACACAATTTGCTTCTTTTGGTGCTGTTTTCTTAGAAACAAATATGCAATTAAAAGTGTAAATAAGTTTACAAAAGAAATATTTTAAATGATAGTGAAAAAAAAAGAGTGAGTCAAATTTTAAAGTGCCCTCAAGAAAATTTGTTCAATATTACCATGAAGTTAATCTAATTTTAACAATTCTTTTGTACTTGGGAAAGCACATTCCCTTAAGACTTTCATTAGGCATAATTTTCTTAATCTGAATTAATTTTGTGCTGGAAAGTAACAAAAAAGCATTTCTTTGGTGCTGAATATTCCCCAAATCAAGCTTTTCTGGAGTATGTAGGTAGTCTATTCAAATGTATACAAATTTATGACTTCTCCCTGAAATATTGAAGTGATGATAACACCACTATATATCTATATGTTTCTAAATTTCCTGAAGCATCTTCAGCTCACTCACAAAAACAAGTAAATGTGATCCATTTTTTTATAGACAAGAATACATTTTTTTTCCCTCCAGTACTGCTGAAAAATCTTTTCTTTGGAACTCCTTTAACTGAGGGCTAAATCTCTCCAGACATACTGAGAAGGATTGGGGTATATTCCTTTGGGTAGCAGTCTAGCAGGGTAAAAGGGAGATAAAGGGATTTTCAAACATGGTCCTGATGAAGAAGGCAGGCAGAAAGAATGGTGGAGGGACACGAAACACCCAGCTTAGGACCCCTGCGATGCCCGACTGCCCCAGAGAGGCTGCTCTGCAGAGGGCGCCTCCTTTTTCAGATCTGGCTGACATAAATCCTGTGCCCCTTTCAGCAGAGATTTGAATGGTGAATTATGCTGCTTGAGGATGGAAAAAGAGTAGGGAAACTTTTCTTTTCCCATGAGGCAGCATCCCTATTGATAAACGGAAATGCAATTGACACAGGTAAACTGATTATGCTAAGTACCCTGGGCACACGCAACCCCTTAATGCTGTTTCCTTTGCCTACTCTTTTGGGTTTATACAGAAAGTTGTGATTCTGGGGCTCAGAAGCTCAAGTCCCAATCAGTGAATAATTTATTAACCTTTAATAAGTTCCTGATCTCTTTGTCCCTCCATCTGAATTATGCAGTAATAGCTTTCTTAGTAAATTGTTCTGAGATTTCTTGTTGAAAGGATAAATATGTAGTAATTATGAAGCCCTTCAACAACATTCTGACAAGGGATTCCAACCTAAATCCCAACTGCTAGGAACCATTTATTTTTATTAAGCTGAAAATGAACTACTTTGAAATAGTGAGGAAAGAAGTGTGTTTGGAGTGATACTTTCCAATAAAAATGATATAGAATCATTTAAAAGAGTGTTGTGCAAGAAAGGCAATATTTAGCTATTGAGCATCAACTATGGGCTAGATGCTGGGGCTAAAGGCGGAGGAGACCTCATCCCTGACCTCAAGGAGCGCACAGTCCAGAGGGGCTACTGGGCACATAAGCAAGTATGTACAACAGCAGGGGCATGTACACATTCAGCGCCAACATGGGGGACACTTTGCCAACTGGTAGAGCATTTGGCTGTGTTTTCACATCCAAATCAAAGACTTTTAGAGCTGATAAGGATACTCAAAATATTTAGTCCGACCCTTTCATTGTCTGAGTTGGATTATGAGACCTTGAGGAATGAAGGGACTTGACAAAAATATGGAAACTTACATCTCCAGACTTCCAGGCTGGGTCTTCCTTTGTTATACAAATTGAAACTAAGTCTGTGGAAGAAATATATGTATAACATTATATGTATAGTATACATATTGAAATATAATAATATCTATATATTACAAATACATAAATACATGTTATGAATAGAATATTATAGAAGTATATGTAAAGTTTTTTGTATATTTAGATCAAATTATATATAGCATATACTAAAATTACATAGTACGCTGTGCCTTATATATTATGATACATGATGTATATTAGTTTTATTTGTAATATTTGCATCATATTATATATTATATATAAATATTATCAATAAGATGAATAAATATGCAAAAAAGTTGCCTTGCAGCCCAGAGAAAACTCATTAGATGATAGCCTGGACTCCTCACTTATTTTCATCCTTTTGCCCTGAGAACACTTGCCCTCTTCCTGTTTAAGTCATCCTTCCTTCCAATCCCAGGGCAAAGGACAGCTCTTCCATGTAACCTCTCTCAGTGACCCTAAATCGCTTCTGGCTGTTAACAGCCTTTCTTCACCCCACACCACTAGGTAGTGAATGCCTAACAAGCCCTTTAATTGTGAAGCCGTCCACATGACCGTTGAGAACATGACCTCAAGAATCAGGCAGTGCACGAGGGGCTCACTCTGCCATTTTCTAGATATGGGAGTAAGAACAATCCCCTCAGCTCTCCAACCCTGTTCATTTCCTCATCCATGAAATCATGAAAAGAATTGTACCTATTGCATTGTGTCTTTTTCAGATCCAAGCGTACATAGCAGATAGCATTCAAGAAATACAGGCTTTTAGTCCTCTTTTGTTTCCTTGCACACTGTGACGGTTCAATAAATATTTGTTAAGGCAAATGACATTTTATGTTTTCCTTCAACTTTTAAAAATATTTCTCCCTCTTCAATCTTAGCTTTATTCATTGACTTGTGTCACCCAGGAACAGACAGATCATAAAAGCCATTCTGAATTATTTATATTCACCTTTGGGTCCTCCAGGAAAACAAACAGCCAGCTGCTCAAATATTGCCAGCAGCATTCTCTTTCTTGTCAAACACAAATGCAGCTCCGGAAGTTTGTGAAAGCAGGTTTGTTTTTTCTGGTGACTCATCAGCAGTGATAAGAGAGAAGCAAACATCAAATGGTAACATAAACAGTCTGAGTAAGTAAGGAACAAACTGTGGTGTTGCTGAGTCTTTCTTCGTGTAGGGATGAGGAGAGTGAGCCGAAAAGAAAGCATCCCTTGGAAATGTTCAGGTAGCAATGAAAGAAAGATGGCTGTGGCCCCGAATTATGTATCTCATGGCCTCAATTCCTCTCATGATTTCCCAATAGAGTCTGACTTCCCTGTGCACCCACATTTTCGCTGCTCTGGATTACTATAAGTCTAACTCCTATTACCTCCACCCCCAAATATATCATAGTTCTGCCTACCCATTTTTTGTTTCTTCATCTCAGGATAATAGTGTGGTCCAATGAGCATTTCCTACTAGCTATGCCTTCAACTCTGCCCCAGTTCCCCTCACTAACTCCACGTGACTCCACTGTCATCCCTGACCTGAACGTCTGTGACAACCTCCTGTCTCTCTTTCTCCTTTTGCCTACCAGGAGCTAATATAATGCTGTTTAAAATATACAGATAGGCTCCTCCATTATCTTTAGAATAAAATGGAAACTCATAACCATGTTTTCCAAGGCCTAGCTAGCATGGTCAGATTCTGACTTTCTGCTTGACCTCATCTCCTATCATTTTTGCTCTCACTTATTTCCAGCCCTTGCTCAAATACAGGGAAGCTAAGTTGCTATTGGACCCCTTAGCCTCTCTGTCCAGAAGATTCTCTCCCTGGATTTTTTCGTGACTCACAGCTTTAATAATTCAGATGGCTATCCAAAGAGGTTTCCCTGAACATGCTAACTGAACGCCTCTCCTTTTACCTTCTATATGCTTTATACACTTTCCTCCCTTACATAAGTCTATTTCCTCTTTACCACTTCTATTCTTGGACTAATTAATAAGTTATACATAGATGTCATCTGTAACTCTGCACCAGTACCTAAGCTCTGTGAAGCATTAACAACCAAACCTAGAACCGTGCCTGGCACATAGCAGGTGCTCAAGAAATACTTTTGGAATGAGTCAAGAACATGAAGGATTTTTAACCTTTGTGAAGTCTTGGCAAAGTTGTAATATTTGTAAAGTGACAAATACTGAAATATGTGTAAGGTGCTGAGCAGTGTGTCAGGAATATAATACAGACAGAGAAATAGTTATTTAAAAATTATGCAATTTGAAATGTAATATGATAACAGGGAAAATGTAGAATGAAATCCTACCCAGGGAGGATGACCTTGACTATCAGGCTAGGAAAAGTCCCCAGACGCCTCTAGATAGGAAAGAGGCTGCTGCTGATTTATCTGTGTATATTCATGTCGTGGAAACTGGACCCTGCGCAGGCTCTACTACATCCCACCAGACAACTGCCTTTGCATTCTTAGGCGTAGGCCATGGGTTAGACCTAGTCCCAGAGTCTGCCCACCTGCACCTGGGATGCCCCTGGAACACAGGCCCTGCACTAACACTGATCCTAGCTCTGGTGGGAGACCAGATGCTCAGATCGTGTTCGAGGCCAAAGAGAGCTTGATCTCGGCACTGCGAGCTTCTTGTTTTATGTTGACACCTCAGGGATTTAACATCGAAGGCCTTTGGGGACAATGCGAAAAGGCTCAGAAAATCAATTTCTGTCGCCCAAGATGAAAGAGCACATTTTTACCGATTGCAAGCCTGTGAACTCCTTCCCCTCTGTTGTCACTATGTTTTAAAGCTTGTTGGCCCTGACATGCAGGCAGAGGCTATTATATTAATTTGC